TGGCGCCTCCAGTACTCACTGCTACTTAGATGAAATTAAGAAATAACCAGCGACCTTAGGCTGCTAAATTCAATTTTCAAATATTAATCTGCACAGACTTTCTGCTTGTTTAAAAAAAACGAATGAATGAATAAACAAATGTAAAAACAATATACACTCCGAGCACCAATTTCTTAGGAGTGACTGGCTTCAGTCATTTGATTTTTGTGTTGAGGTTTGGACTTGTGTGGTAAAGATGAGAGAAAACTTGAGAGTAAGGCTCTATACCAAAGCAAATGCGAAGTGCCATGCTGGGGTTGCCATGGGTGCCTGGTTGACCTCTGACCTCTAATGGCTGGGGTGGCTTTTTTGACAAGGCCATTCAGAGTGGGCTTTTGGCTAACTGTTACCATGCCTAAAGTTTGTTTACAAGTATGTCAAAAGAAGAGTCAGCCGGGAGCCTCACTTGCAATAATGGCATCCATGTTTTAACGCGATACAAAATGGATGCTGTGATGTTATGAAGAAAGGCAAATTGGAGGGTGTTTATGTTTCTAGAGGATAGTACAAATGCTTGTTACCTTTACAAAACTTACTGCCGTATTGTCAAGTTTTTGAAAACTACCATGATGGTATTTCTATGGTATTCTTTGGGTGACATGTAAATACGATGGCATATATAATTTTTTTTTCTAAAATTTGTATGTTTGACAATCCATTTTAATGTGTTTACGATGTGTAAATTAAATTATTTTTTGTTGAGGTGATAACATGATAACAGGTTAGCATGACAAACAAAGGTGGTCAAGGCAGCATATCGTCTGGTCCGAACCCTTGTGATAAGGTCTGTCAGGGCACCCAGTTGCTATGGTGATATGAGTGGCAGGGTCTTACTGTTTGAACGATGTCAACACACAGCACTCCATTTCACAGACAACTTTTAGGATAGTATCTAATGCTGAGTGCTATGAATTTCATTCAGTTTTTAAAAAAAATGTGGCTCTATCTTTTGGTCATAATAATAGAAACACTCCTATTTTGCTATGCACCGCAATTACATTATATATATTCTGCTGCCCTGCAGAGTTTGATTAATGTGGGAGACATTTAACAGTAAATCAACTTGACTTAAAAAGTAAATTAAAATGGACATGTAGGAAATTTCACTGCTTTGTGCCAAATGTATGCCTCCCCACCAGTGTTGTTTTAAAGTAAAACCGAGAAGTCCAGTCTCTTGAAAACTCTGTACTTTCCAAGCACTACTTATTGAGGAGGTCATATGCTGAACAGCTGTAATTTTGCCCAGGAAATCATCAGCAGGCCAACCCAAACCCGACTCTCTCCCCCGACTCCAGCCTCCAACTATGGGGCAACAAATTCAGCCCAACTCCCCGAAGAGGACACAGCCCGTTCCCCCTCCTGCTGGTCCAACCAGCTCAGGGCCCTCTGCACGATTCAGTCCATCGATTGCAGAAATTAGTTATAGCGTTTTTCACACCTGGTTCTGTTCAAGATGCAGCACAGTTGAGGTTTGGCAAAATGTGCTCCCAGCGAGTAAGAAAAAAACAAGAATGTTGCCTCCACCAGAATTGTCACATGTGTGTGAAGAAGGTGCTAAATTGGAGCCTAATTGCATTAAAACCGATTATGCCTTCCAGTTTCATTTTGAACACAAGCATCACGTAAAATGGGGGGGGGGATGGGTGATTGCATCTTGTGCTGTGGTTTGCTTTTTACGAGATGTGATGGAGGCTCCCTCACTTTTTCTGGTTCTGTGTACAAACAGAATGAAGCCCAGAGCTCGGCGTGCCAGCCTAATATTTGGCTGTTCCAGGATCACTGCGGCTGCATAGCAACAATCTGAAGCCTTTCATCTAATTACTCTATCACATAATTTTGCAAATTGCCATTTCACTGGGGAGCTGAGTGCAAAAACATAAGCACAGCGGGATTTGGGGCAATGGCTTCCATTTATTACTAATTTCTCGTTAAATTAAACAAGAAAATACTGTTTGTGAGATAGAGAGTGAAAATCAGGAGGGAACAAGGAATGGGAAGGAGGGGGACAAAGAGTCCAATTTCATGGCCACAGGAACAGGAAAGCTGTTCAGTGCACCCAACATTCCTCTCCAGGATGCCTGGCACAATCACACTATCTTTCTCAGATTAAAAAAAACAACAACTTTAAAGCAGGAACAATAAAAAGTTTAGGGTTTTTGTTGTTGTTGTTGTTGTTGTTTTTTTTTACTTCACCACAAAGTTTATTGGAATGTGTTCACGCCAGTTTTACAGCATGCTAAAACACTTTTGAGTGGCAAGTAATTAGCTAGCATCTCTCGCCATACTATTCTCAGACCTGTAAATGCCCGCTTCCACTTGCCCTCAAGCCGGCTAATAACCGGGGATTGAAAACAACTGATTAAAGAGCAGCTTCAGGGTGTTGCTTCCCCATAAGCCTTCACCGTCTCCTCTGTATCTCTCTCCATTCCGCTTATTGTTTCCTATCCTCCTCTCTTCCACCAAATGGGAATAATCTTGTACTGCCACCCACTTCACACACTTCTGTCTCGGCACAATGGCTTCACTGGTTAATTCATGTGACGTGCAAAGAGTGCATTCTTGCTGCAGTTGGGCCCTGAACTGCGAGACATATGTAATCTATATTTATCTGAGACAGAAGGCTATCATCTGTGTGTGTTGTTTGTGCCGCTTGCTAATTCCCGCTGTCTTTATCTCCAAGGGCCAGACCTGAGGACTGTTCCTTTACACATCGATTCTGAGGAAAAGGGACATCGCAGGTTCAGCAACTAACTTTTCCAGCAATCCTGTGCTCTCACACTTTTTCCTACGTCTTTGTGGCCCCTCTTGAGACTTTCCGATGTCCTTTTAGTAAAAGCCAGTTGGAGACGGAAGGCGAGAAGACTGCATTGTCCGTAGGTTCAGTCATCCGTGCCTCATGTGCTGTGTGTTGTTTTGTTCTCTACACAAATGCTGAGCTGTCAGAGTGAAGCATTTGAAGCAGAGTGAAATGAGTCTAATTTCCCGAGTTTGCTGTAAGGAGCGCTGTGCAAACCTATTAACGGCAGAGACCAAAAGTGTTTCCATTTATGTTTCGATCTGACTCTCTGTCTCAGTGTTAAAGTTAAATTCCTTTCTCTCACTTTCTGTCTGTCTCTCAATCTATCTCTCTTTTTCTCTCATGCTTTCTTCTCAGACACTTTAGTAGGAATTCTGATGCCATATTATTGGTTTCTCTATATATATATTTTTTTTTTATAGTACGTCTTTCCTTAACAAGCCATGTGATTTAAGATATACAGAGCATGAAAGACAAGTTATGTTCCTAAGTTTAATACTTAAGGTTAGGGTTTAAGCAATAGTAAGAGTAGTATTCTAAGCCTTACCTAAACCCTAACCATATGTTATATATGGTATTTTTGCATTTTTATACTAATAATAATAATAACATTTATTATTTATAAATTATATTTTACTTTCAAACTGTCCTAAAAGGGAGGTTTTGTCAGATTTAGCAATCTTCCTTGTGACAACTTTGTCCCTACATTATAGTTAAACACACTTGAGACAGAACAAGCCCTCAATGACACAATACTGTCCACCATATTGGTCAGCCAAGACAAACAAGAAATTAAACTTCCATCAGTCTGTGCTATTGTGGTTTGTGTGTACGTGTGTGTGTGTGCGCCTGTGTGAACTGGCAAATGGCTTTCTTTTCACACACCTTTCTCCTGGGGCCGCTAAAGGTGGTAGTTGGTGGGGGTTTGAGAGTATGTATGTGTGTGTTGGGGGTGTGTTTGGAGCAGGTGAAGTTCTGGGGTGCTCAGGCGTATTTCTGTGGCACAGATGTAGGAATGGAGGGGCCAAGGGGGAGCGAGCATGTGGGGGATTTTTGCACTGATCAAATGCACTCCCTTTTGACTGCAGAAACACATTTCCTTTCAACACCTAAAAATACATGTTGCTGGGCCATAACAGCTACTTCAGTCATAAAGTGTAACACAAACGAATAAGGCTTAAGTAATATGTTTATTTAAAATAACCCTATGTGAACATTTCACTGTCTTTAATTAAGAGTCATTATTATTATGAGTTGTGCAGAGCCTGCATCTCAGTGTATGTGAGAGAGAGAGGCTGGCAGGGGTGTGTTATGCCTGTGAGAAGCATAGATATATGGAGATAAGTGGTGTCTTGACAGCCCTCCGATTACTTTGTGGTAAATGAAATAGAGGAAGTGAAATCCATCAAAGCAAGAGGAAGAGCCAACCACATCAATGGCCCATGCTGCTCTATCACTTCTCTATGGCAGGTGTAGACAGACACAGTAAGAGAACTAACCACCAGTCCCAAAAACACATTCAACTAACCAGCTAAATCAGTTCTGATAGATGTACAATGGCCCCCAAAAGTATTTAGATGCTTATACCACTTGGTTTTAAATGTTTCTACAACTACATTTAGTCTACAACATCATATATATATATATATATATATATATATACACACACAATTTTCCCCCCCGACCTAACAAACTTTGGCTTGTAAACTGTGCTTGTGCTATCGTTTTTAATAAATGCCACTTGGTTTGATATGTTCTTATATAATTAAATTATATCCCTACATCTTTAAATGTCACGTTAGTGCCCAAATATTTTAGGGGGTATCTCCAGATACTCATTTTACAGAGATTTCCTAAAATTCTCCACAAATAATAGTAGAAAGAATGGAAAACGACAGCTTACATCTGTATCAACTATCTTCAGCTTAAGGCTGTTTTTTTTCCTTGGCTTAAAACTTAAGAGAGTGTGTGGTTAAGGCTAGGAAAGATAAAGTAAATTGTGTGTGTGTGTGTGTGTGTGTGAGAGAGAGAGAGAGAGCAAGCATGTGTGTAGCATTAGCACTACATTTGACCATTTCAGTGGCTTTGAAGTACAGCATGCAGTATTGGCTGTAGAAGGCCCAAAGAGAAGCAGAAAGAGGAAAGATCACTCTACTGGACTCACCGTCAAGTGCTGGAAGAGCCATGCCCTCATGATGTTGGTCGCCACTTTAGGGAAGATACCACGTTTTTTATTCCTCTTCTTCTCCTTGTCGGGGTCGTCATCATCTCCCGTGCTAGGTGATGCCACACTGTTGTCTAGCCCATCACCTGTCACAAACACACAGGGAGTCAGTGGACAGTCAGTTCCTGGTCAGTAGCAAAAACACTCAAACAGGCCTTGCATTATTTTTTAAGTTTTCCAAAAACTTGATAACAGGGTAAGTAGATAACAGGCAACAATAGTGCTTCAGTATAGCTTTAAAAGCATCACGTCTGAATGCATTCATTTTTAATAATTTTATAAATAACCCCCCTTTCTCATCCCCCACACAAACGCTCAGAGAGAGAGAGAGAGAGAGAGAGAGAGTACAATGGACTTGTAAGGTCGCATTTCCCCCCTGCCTTCTAACACAGTGAGTCACCAAAGAATTGAGAATGACAGAGAGATTTAGTCTTCATTATTCCAGGGAAATATTGATTGAAGCTCGCCCCGGTGTCTTTTTACCTCAGGTGGGGGAGTTACACGCTATGAAAAAGAGGAAGGAGGGGGGTGAATATGGCTGCCGCACAAAACGGCAGCTTTTCAAAGAGCTGCATTTTAATATCAATGCTGCATGGCTGCTTGCAGCAACCTGTGGGTGCTCGATAAGGCTTTATAATGGGCAGTTCAACATACCAGAGCAGAGGAGATGGCTTACCTCACCTTTTCAGCTTCATGTTGCCGTTTTGCTTGCGTATGCTGATTTTATTCCTATCCCCAATTATTGTACGCATTCTCCCTCAATGAGAGCCCAAATACGCCACTGAGAAGGCTTCTGATAATTGTTATTATGAACCCATGATTCAGGTAATAAACCATAAAAGAAACACAAGTGAGGCAAACAACTGCACACTGCAAGGCTTTCAATAGCGGTGGCACAGTAATGGAGAGAGTAACTTATTGATTACGTATAAAGCACTTCCAAAAGCCCAATTCGTACAGAGAGATTATGGTGGGTTAACTTTTTCTCTCGCTGTAGCTTTCAGTCAGCGACATAAGGCACCTGTATCATTGATAATTAATGGAAATGTCTGCAGTAATCCGGTTGGAGATAAAAAAAATTTCCCCAGCTCCATGCATCAATAGAATAATCAAGGGTCTAAAAGAGTCTTTGCTCCCCATTACCTCAGGCAAAAGAATTCCTGAAAGCATGCCTTGCGGGCACCTGAATTATATACGCCATTAGGAGAGAGAAGGCTTTCTACATTCCATATAAAACTCTCCGCCAGCCCTCTCCACCTAGGAGAGAAGCCCCAGAAAAGACGCAGACTTTTTAAGTGAAGACTTATGTAGATACAATGGCTTTGCCTTTTACACAAGGGCACTTTCCCTCAGTCAGTCACTTACTGAGAAACTGACCAGAGCCGAACTGCCCTCCCCTCAACACACACAGACACAAGAAAAAAATTACTATGAGACGTCAAAGGCGCGTTTCGATTACATAATTTACTGATGCTTAGTGAGCAGTTTGTCTTCCGACTGTTTTTAGGCAAATAGAACTTCCCAGCTCCCATCTGTGAAGGCAGTGGCACCGCTGGTTTGTAATCTAAGACACCATTTTCATTAGAATCAAATGCTCCAAATCCGGTGTTAAGACTAGTTTGTGTTCAGTAAAGCCTAAAATAATAAACTCAGAGCTTGTCCCATGTGAGTTAGCAAAACAGAAGCAAACACTGGATATCAGGTCAGATGGAGGAAGAAGGAAGGGGGTACGACAAAAGAGTAAAAGAGGGCAGGGTGAGTGATGTCTGAGGTAACTCCGTTGCGTGTGTGCTCTCTTGAGCTTTTGTCTTCCGCCTCTTCTAGCCATTTTGAACTATTTAACCTCCCTTCCCCAATATTTTTCCTTAAAAACTAACCTCTGAAGGCCTAGACCTTCAAGGCAAAAGAGGGGGAGCTGTCAATTTTATTGGGATTTCCATTTTTGACGCAATTTGATACTGGTTCAACTTGAGCCTGGGACTCATTTCACCTCTCTTTTAGCATTGTGATGTCATTGTAAGCACATGGCAGTGTCTATACAGTTGAGGGTTTTTTTTAGACAATACACAATATTACATGTTAATTTATATGCTATTAAAAAGATGACGTGACTTTAAGTGACATTTTCCTAACTTCCGCCATTTTGCTCATTTCAACACCTCTCACCAAAACCCTGCCCTCCACAATCATGTCAGCAAAGCCAAACATGCAAAATGATTTACAAGAAGAGAGCATTTCTGGTTGGCTAAAAAGCTGTCTCTCCCCTCACTCGTTTGTTTCTGCCGTTTACAGAGCCTAGGGCTGTCATAGAGATGTGAGTTTTCTCAGGACACCTATTTTAGTGTGTCAGGAAGCAGGATCTGCCTATTGCTGTCAATTTTATTGGTATTTCCATCTTTGACGCAATTTGATACCGTTTCACCTTGTTCCGGTTTGTCTAGGCCTAATTTTTTCATCTATTTTAGCACTGGAGTGTAGGCACAGGCTTATGGCAGTGTCTATATGGCACTGTTGTGTCAAAATGTCAGCCCGTTGCCGAGCTTCTGCACTCTTCCCGCACCAAATAAAGACGAATGATATGCGGCGAGACTGAAAAGGTGGAAATAATCATAAAAATGATGCTAGTCCATAAACAAGCTCACAGCCTCATTAGTCCAGCAGTAGGCTCCACTGGCAGATTTATGCGCCTTTTCGCTGATGCCATGAGGAAATGCCACGGGCGAACTTTGGCCAACTGCTAATGGGTTATGACAGCGTCTTAGCAACTACTGCAGGGAGGGGGGTGCTTGGTCCGGTTCGCCACTGACAGAGAGGAAAATGTCATCTCATCTGGCCATGTGTGGTGGAGTCTATGCAGCAATTAGAGAGCAGGCCAGTGACTGGAGCAGGCCAGAGGCTGAGGAGGATGCCCCGCGGCTAACCAGGGAGAGAATTTTTTATGACCCCCTCATACACGCGCACACACATCCACGCGTGAGATCAGCCTGTGACGCTCTAGCTGCCTGGCTGCTGCTAGAATCAGGTTAGCGTCCCAACATGCCTTTGTCAGCCAGCTCTTCTGATTGGCTCATCCGCTCCATCTTGATACCTGTCTCCTGCTCTCTCGATCTCTCCGAACCATGTCACTCTCCACCACTCTCTCTTACATACTCAAGGCGCTTTCTGACATTATCAGAAAGATGTGGGCTAATCTGTTATGATCTGATTACTCAAAAAGGACACTATCTGTTCCTCTCGCCTTGTGCATCCAAAACTCCAAAGTGTCAGCCATTTTTCTGCTGCTTTACAAATTTTCAGAGTGGCACTTCCAATCCATCGAGCACATTTCTATGTCACTATGTCAAACGTTCATTTAAAAGCTACAAGAAAGATGACTTGACATTACATTTTTGAGATGGAGATCTACTGTATCAACTTTGCTGAACAGACCGGCTTAGGCTGGTTGGTTAGGTCTAGATGGTGGCTAGTATAGATAGTAGAATGTGCTGGTAAAGGTGAAGTACGTAATATATCTGCCACCGAGTGGGGCTACCTGTTTGTCCAAGCAATGGAAAACAGGGGAAAGTTATTTTCTGCAATGTTTCAATTAAATAATAATAATTATTATTATTATTAACAATTTATATAACAACAGTAAAATTACAATGCTAATATTTATGGTTGTCTTTTTCTTCGCTTTCAAACGTTAAACCAAAGAGGTTTTATTTTTTTGCGGAAAACTGCAAAGAAACTTATTTTTTTGAAATGCTTCTGATTTATAATCCATTCTTGTTAAAAACTAGATGATTGGCATGTTGCATTTTCAAATGCATGTCATATGCGACTAAAAACACACAGCACTTGCAGTTAAGCAGTGAAGTTTGTGTGGAGCAGCATTTACTGTGAACTGTAAAAAGATCACAATGCTGCGCTTCACTCTGAAACACACAGCGCATCAGATTATATTTTGATATATTTACAACTCAGTCTTTGCGATTTAATAATTGTGCTAAACCATATCACATTCTCAGGCATTGTTAAAAAAAATTAAAAATAAAAAAGTTACCGGAAAGCGAGTAGTACTGTTCTCATATACTCTCCAATGCTGATTTTTACTTGCATTTGGCACTTGGCGAGTGTTAATTTTCAGCCCTGGTTATAAGTCAGGCTGTCATAGTTTATGCAGTACAGCTTCTTGCCCAATTTTAAGAAGTGTTTTGACTAAATTTTATTGGCCATGGTCTGATGGATGGGGCCAAGCTGTGGAAACAGATTGGCTTTTGCTTTACACCACATTTGGTCCATGGATGATTTCTAGAGCACCTCTGGCCTCTCTCTGCGGAGGGAGTCAGGTGACCTGTACTGCTCTCTCACTCTCCCTTAGCATTCAAACACACTCTCATATGACTGTACTATGGCTTTCCTGGTCCTGCAAAATCTCAGCCTTAAGGGCCCGCCATCCGCCTTCTTTTCACTATGCACACATTCACACACGTTCACACACTCCTCATTCTAACTCTCACACACAGGGTTGCATATAAAGAGAGTGGGCGAATGGGAAGAGGGGAGGGTCGGGGAAGAAAAGATAAAGCTGGGTTCATTGTATTCAGGCCATTCACATGGTTAGAATGGACCAGGCAGCGGGGGTTCCTTTGCATGGGTCACAAGCGCCTCCCAACTCAAAAAATATTCTGACCATGCAGGAATTCCTGCGGTATGATTCCCAACAAGAGACACTTAGATTAGCAGGGAGCTTGCCATGCACGCTTGCCCCACTATACATTTTCTGTTCCTAAAATACATACAAACATTAGTAGCAGTCTGCTGACTGCAATCACTCCCTCCTCTAGCAAAATGGCCTGAGCTCTTCTAGTTTCTGACTTGGTAGGATAAATATAAAGGAAAGTAGAGGGTTTAATGAGATGCAACATGGTGGCAATGTGGCAGATCTTTAGTTATGTTGACTCTGTTTTCCTCTTGAGCACATGTGTCTTGCGATATTTACATGCACAGCTGTGCATATTTGTGTATTTATGCTGAACTTGCTAAGATAAATACTTTTTTGATTTATAATTATGTAGAAAAAAATAGCTCTGTAAATACTAAT